CCCCAAAACCCCAAAACCCCAAAACCCCTAAAGATGAATAGAAAGTATATACTAAGATCTTGAAAATCAATTATATATTTTATATAGTGGTATCTTTAGCTTAAATTTTTCATTATTTTTTCTTCTAAGATGCATCAGTCTCAGTTACTTAACTCTTAAGGCCTTTATTAAATCTATCATTTTTACCCATCTTGCTTGGGGCTGATTGCCCTCCCTTTGTGTTTTTATCATCTTTCTTATCATCTTGACCTTCTTGCTCTTCTTCACCATCTTCATCTTTTTCCTCCTCATTGATCAGTAGATTCTTTTCCTGCTCAAGTAATGATAGGACTTTTCTGTACTTCATAATTTACTCTAGTCTATCTTCTACTGGCTTCTCTAAAAGAGCAAGATATTTATATATTTCCTGAGTCTTCTCCTTCTCTTTATAATATTGATCAGTCTTTTCCTAGATTTCTTTCTCCTTTTACTTCAGCACAGCACCCAAAATCTTATTTTGGAAAGAAATAAACTATATACCGTTTCTTATATAATCCCAGTATTGAAGTCTCTTTTTGTAGCATTCAATTTCATCAAATCTCTTTCCCTGAGCAGCAACACCAGTGCCTACACTTTTACCCTCCTCAATACTCTTCAACTTCTTGAATTTATTCAGGAGAATATCTCTATTTTCATTTCTCAGCTGTGTCCTCTTCTTCAATTCTGATTTTATTTCATCTGCACAGTTTATAGCCCATGCTTTTAAATCAGACATTGAAATCTAAAGATTAACAACTAGCTTTTCAAAAACCTCAAGATAATCATTCTACTAATTCTTTTTATCAATTCCAGCTGATTTTCTCTTATTCTGTTTTTACTTTTCATTAGGTATCAGACAGTAGAAAATACTTGAGAGAATGTTAATTGAATCATAATCCTCGTTCGCTAATTAGTTAGCTTCATAAGCCTCATTGATAATAGCCAAGAATATATTAGTTAGGATAAAAACAAAGAGGACATTGAAGGGAAAGAAGAAAATAACAGCCATCGGTTCATTTGCCTGCTTAAGAGAATCATAGTCAAAGTCTCCAATAGTAATCTCGAAACATTTTCTTATAGCATTGCCCAATGAATTAAAATCTGCTAACTAAGCACCAAATGAAATGTAGGCCATTCCTACAAATCCAAAGAGGAATATAGCGAAAATAATCAAAAAATAGAAAGTGTCTTCCTTCGATGAATAAAGAGTGTTACTCAACATATTCATGTGCTTACTCTTATTCATGTAATCAAAGACCTTGACACTTAAGAAAATGGTATTTATTGCCACAACATTTGTATAGTTCATTAGTAATCTCTAAACTTAGAAGAATTTAGATATGAATCCTTAATTTTCTTTTGACGGAGGTAATGCAAAATCTACTTCGGAAGCTCCTTAAATGTATAGAATCCAAAATACAATTGATGTTACAGCTAACGAAAAGTAGATTATGTCGAAATATGTGAATGAAGTGAATAGAGCATTCCACTATCTGATCCATTCTGGGGCTTTTTGATATCTTTATTTCCTCTCAACTTCAGATAGAGAATCAATTTCTATTCTCTTCCATCTCTTATACTGTTTACCCTTATCAATAAGTTTTCTAACAAACATGAACATATTATAGAGGAGCAAGAGCAAATAGAGTGCTTCAAAACCTAGTCTGATCAAATCTCCTTAAGTTTTATACTGGTTTAACTTCATTGTGAAAATGTTGACCATGCTTACTATACTACCATCTGAAGGGAATGAAAATTTTATTGTAGAATAAGTGTGGACATATTAAGATGCCTCAAAGCTAACAAACTCAATTGTTAATGAGAGAGTCCTATCACTAATTATTCTATCCCCAACAAAGTCTTGAAGTTAATCTTTATATAGGTCTGGATTAAAACTAAAGTCTAAGCAGTAACCACCTTCGTTCTGGTATCCATTGCTGGAATATGAGTATTGAATATTACTGTAAGAGCCAATAAAATCTTCCTTATACTCATTTTCTGAGTCATCATCTTTGTAGTAATGGCTTTGATAGCTAGAACCTGCATCATTATCTCTTATTTTAGAGATTCTAAAGCAAAATCTCAATTAATCACCCAGAACATAATTTACATCTTAAATATAGTATCCTGTAAAATTAGTCTATTGCTAAGTTGTCTAGACAACTAGAGTTGGCAATGCTTCTTCTAACCATTAAACTAAACCATCATAATCTTTAATTGTTGTAATATCATAGTTTGAAAGATCTACTAAGCCCATTACTGCATTTTTAATGGCTGTATTATACCAGTAATTTCTCTCAACATTCAACTAGAATAATATGAGAGAGATGTATAAAGCTGCATATAAAGTAAAGGTGATCGAAGCCCACATAATCTTTCCACATTTCAGTTCTCTATCCTTCTTGCCTTGAACATCTTACTTCTCAGAGAGTAGCGCTGGTAATAATGGTTCCTCAATTGAAAACTGATTCTAATCAAAATTTTTATCCCACTCCTTTCTTGTTAATATGATCTTAGATTTTTCTTCTTCCAATCTTTATCTTGATTTAGCTATATTATCATCTTGAGAGTTTCCTTAACTATCATCTAAATCCTCATCAACATCTTCAAGTTTAGATGTAAGCTCATTACTATTAGTGGTACCACTCTTTTTATTAGACTCTTTATCATCGAATGGCAATCCAATAGCTAGATCAGATATATTCTGCTTATCCAAACTATTATTTTCTTACACATTCACTTTATCAATACTATCATTAAGATTCTATGGATCCCCAAACAAATATCTCTCTTTTCTAATTTTGTTTTGATCCTCTGAATCATTTGAGACAGGCTCATCATCATCTTTGACTTTAAATTTCCCCATCATTATATCCTTAATTGATTTTTGTACATTGTCTTTTACAAATTCTTTTTATGCCTTAACTAACTTTTTTTCCTATTATTTTTTCAAAGTTCTTCTAGAGCATCTTGTTCTCATCCAAACATAAAAATCTTAGAATTTTACTAAAATATGCTTCTGTTTCAATTCATCTTCAAGCTTCTTGGAACTGGAAATACTTTCATTCACAGCAGAGTATGCATTAGAAATGAAGGCGATGAACATGTTGATTAGAATGAACTACATACTCGTCATAAAAGCAATGAAGAAAAAAAAGCTAAGTACTTTATTCAAAACAATCATATCATCTAGAGCATCAAGATCTCCCAGCAACATCAAGAACAAGGTTGTTAAGGAGTTGAATATAGTTCCAAAGTTTGTAAGATCTGCACCATAATAGATATGACACATTACCACAAATGCAAAGAAAATAATGATATACATGATCAGGAAATAGAAAATATCAGATTTGGCATAGGATAGTGTCTTGAAAATGATCATCACTCTTTCAAACCAAGATGCTAAGTACTTAAGTACCTTGATAAAGATAAGTATAAAATTAATTGAGCATATTCTGCTGTAGATCAGTAATTTTTCAGAAACACTCAAGAATATTTCATTGTTGGATACATTCCTGAACTCAATAAAGTCCTTATTTGCTATTCCTGAAATGTGTTAACTAGCTAGAGTTGCCCAAATACAGACTGCAACTAATGACAAAACCAGGAAAGATGAGTCAATCCAATTCCATCCATCATCGTAATGGTCTTTAATTCCATTGACAACGAATTTGCAATAATGAAGGAAGGGGTTTCTTTTTGTTTTCTTATCATCTGTAACTTTATCCTTAACTGGGTCATCTTTACTCTGCATTATATTTGTAAATTCACTTGGAGTTTTATCCTTTTTTTCTGAATTTTTACCAACATCTGGAGTCTTTGGTAATACACTTTAGCTTCTTTCGAATTCTTCCTCCTTGGCTAGCTCAAGCTACTCTTTTTTCTTATTTAATCTAGCTTATTCCTTTTTCTACTCCTTCTCATGCTCCCTCTTTTTAGCCTTAATATCTCCAATAATCTCTATGAATTCAATGATGAAATAGAATATTAGCAAACAACAGAACGATATTTCACAAATCAATCTAAAATATCCTAAGCCCTCACCATAATAATCTCTTTTCAAATCGTGTAAAATTATTGAAGTTGTGATAAGACCATTCGCTTCAAACATTGCTATAAAATTAATCATTGTAAAAAACTCAGTATAAGAATTATATACCACGACATCAAGAACCACGGATCTGGTTTACTTATCAATAAATCCATTATTCTTTAGATCATTAATAAAACTTGCTGATTAGTTTCTTGAATATTTGAATATATCAATAACTTAAAGATAACCACCTTTTGATGAATATGTATCCTTTAGCTGGTAGTTGAATTATTTATTTTTTCCATAGGTTGCAGTTGTTTCTTCATCACCATTATAGTCTTCTGTGTATTCAAACCCAAGAGATGCCCAACCCTCTTTGATGTAATCTTTTGTGTATATATCATCATTAGGTACTAGCTTCATTCTACGTTAGGTGATTCGAATTGGTGATGCTAAAATATTCAAATTCGGAATCGCATGTCTTTTTCCTTCAGGAATTTTGAAATCCTCATAGTAGTTCTCATCATATAGCTTATCAACAAAGTTACTAAGCCATATCCAATAAGACTACTCTATATTAATCTAATCGAAAGCTTGGTCGTTCTATTAGAGTCCTATTTTGATTGAATTATTCATTGAGTAACTTTCGCCTACGTTGACTTGCATGTACACTACTATTATAAAGAAAGAACAGAACAGCAGAAATGTTATGATTTCTCTAGTGGACAGAGTCTTCTCAACTGATTTTTCAGCCTCATTTTTGCTTATATTCTCCTCTTCGAGAATCAATTTGGGGAATTCACTTCTACCAATGTTACCCCTCGAGAAACTTTTATCGTCTCTCTCCTTTGTAATTATCATTAATAGAATTATAATAGAACTTAAGGATTATTAACTTAAATTTATAATTAAAACAAATAGGCAAGTTCTCTCAGTACAATTTTATTTAAATGCTGTTAAAAAATCAATCAAAAAAATCACTAGAAGTGGGTCCAACAACAACCTGCAGCAAACTGCATGGTCCTTCCTCATCAATGACAGTAAAGCATCTATCTACCAAGTCCACATGGCAATAGAAGTTTGCGAATGTAATTATAATACCAAGCCCAGCAAAGAGGTTTAGTAAAAACGTCCATAATTCCCCCTAGAATTTGAAGATACAAAAATAATATAATGAATAGCCTCTAAAAAATGCTATAGAAGCCTCAAAATTCTTTTCTATAACCTCTCCAATACTTCCTGAATCAAAGTATTTACAGCAGATGACGAGCTAGACTACGAATAGTGTGTCTTCTCAATTTCAAGATTCAGCTCACACGATTAAACTTAAGAATTAATAATTTCATGATCAATAGTCATCAGACATTATTGATTAATAAAAGTTATCGACAATGCTTTCCAGAAAGAGTTAGTCCTCCAAAAATCTTATCTCAAAGACGAGATTCCAATTGAAATAAATAGAATAGTAAAAATCAAATCTAAACATGATCTTGACATAGTAAAAGTTTGATATAGATTAGCAAGTAAGAGACGAAGAGAAAATAGAAAATGGATATAATTTTAAATTCAGGACAACTCATTGACATCCATCGGAGAAACTTTTAGGTAATACTAAAAAACTCACTATGAATACTAATAGCGCAACGAGACCAACGACTGCCAACATTAAACTTAGCAGGCTAGATTCTGCCTATAACTATGCTACTAACCAGCCAGTAAGAAATACCTAAATAGGGTTATTAAGCAGTCCAATTTTAAAGTTATAACAAATGAGTGAAGGCTAAAACGAATCTTTTCATTCATTTGATTATCCAATAGACGAAAAAGAGTTTAAGGAATTATAGGTTGACCTGGTTAAAAGATAGCTAATAGAAGAAAGATACCAACCTAAGAGATATTGTAATTAAGAAATCAAGCCACCTACACCAACAATTGATCCGAGTAAAGTATTTATTACTCAAGGTCAGAAGATAAATTAAAACAACTATAATAGTAAGAGCACAGTTACTTTGTTAACTTCAAGAAAATAGAGATAGTAATCACCTCACAATTCATAGAGCAATGATCTTAAAACTGATTAGTAACCACTTCATCTGATTGCCTTAAGAAAGAATAGAGACAATCTCATAAATATTTTAACTTCAGAAGAGTAAAAAGAACTAAGACTGAAAATCACTCCAGAGTAGATTAACAAGCTACAAAAGGAAACATTCAATTAAGTAAAATAAGCTTACCTTGATGACCAATAATAAAAGAGGCAGATTCAATACAAAAAGGTGATTATGTCTAGAAAGTCTTGTGATTAAGTTGCTTTTGACATGAGATTTCTGCCTAAAAAACAGAGAGCCAAACTCTAGTAAAGACTTCGATGGTATGTTGTAAATAATGTAAATATGAATATTGAGATTGACAAGGGAAATAAAGTTGAGTATAAATTTGATCAGGAAATCGATCAGTATTTCAAAGACAATTTCGGATATAAATGATAATATTCATCTTTTATTTAATTAAACATCAAAGTTTCTTTATTAAAAAAGTATATATAATCGTTCATCATGGGGTTTTGGGGTTTTGGGGTTTTGGGG